CACGCCCAGAGTGCAGCGTGGCAGCTGGAAAAGCAGATAAAATTAGCAGAGACACAGCTCAGCAGAGTGCACAGGCGTGCAGTAAGGGAGGGAATAACCCCCTGGACAAGAGGCCAGATCCCAGTTTAGCTTGCCCACAGCAGGAATTAAATGGGACAGCAGCAACAGTGGATAAAACTAGTGGAGGAGCATGTGCAGATAACAGTGTGCAGATGTGCATTAAGGAAGAAAAAGTTGACAGGCAGGAAGAAATTCAAGTAACCAGCTCCAATTTGGAAGGAAAAATACCTGTCCTGCAGAACAGGGAAACTGCTAGTGAAGTGCACCAGGGGCAGGAATTTTTAGCCAAAACCTGTGCAAAATTTACTGACCTATCTGCAGGGGACTGCCCAGATTCCCTCTTGGAAAAAAAGGTTTCAAATGTGTAAGTACACTTTCTTTTTACAGTAACAGTCTTTTTAGAAAATATCTATCATGGTAATTACCTTGATAAAACTTGAGACAGGAAAGGAGAGACAGTGGGAGATGCTGTTACCTGTATGTCATACACACACTAATGTGAAAATGCTTCTATTTAACAGGGATATCGTGGATAAACATACATAGTTTTTGTAGAATTTTGTAAATTATTTAAAGTGCTCTAAGGAAATATTTTTTATGATGATTTTTAGGGCTTGCATTACTACAGGAAGCTCTAGTTACTGTAGATAAGATACTGGCTAATCACACTTTAAATTATGAGGCCTCTGATCACCTATCAAAGGGGAACCTGTTTGTGCACAGAATATATTTGGCAACCTGTTAAGAGATCCCAGGAAAACACAGCCTTGGAGAGCAATGCAGATTCTCTGACACTGGTCACATTCCAGCTGCCTTAGGACAGTCCTGTGTCCTGGTTTTTTATTGAGGTCTCAGTCCTCCTCCCCTGAGGACTCTGGGGGTTGTTCCCTGAGCAGAATTCCAGCACAGCCAGCTGTGGGTGTGGAGATCCAGCCTGGAAGATACAAATGCAAATTCAGGTAAATAAAGTGGATCAGTCTCTCTGCACAGTCCTGTGTAAAGTGAGCTCAGCAGCTGCTGGAAGTCATTTTGAATACCTAAAACCTCCTGCTAGCAGATGATTCCAAGCACAATTGCAGTCTAAGACAAGTGAAGGAGTATTGTCTGTTCAGACAACATGATTTCCCTGGATTTCTCTGGATTTATGTACTATTGGGCCTGCAAGGCTGAAACAATTCCTCATTAGCCTCAAATGATGCCCTGCAGTTACCCAGAGATGGCTTTTGGTTTCCTGAATGAACTTTCTGGAATTGAGTGCCCTTACTTTCCTTTTTCAGAAGTGGTTTCTAAGATGTTACATTTCTGTGAACTTTTCACTGACAGTTTTTGTGCAATAGAGCAAAGCTGGGTTTGCTGTAGGAAGCCCCAACATAAACGCCACGGATATTTTCAGCGCTGTTCTTTCACACTGGCTCTTCCTCTGCCTCCGTTTCCAGCAGCCAGAATAAAGCAATTTTTCACCACTATCTTTTTTATTTGTACTGACTTTAAACGGGATCGAAGTAGCACATTTATATCACAAAAAAAAAAAAGTGCCCTCACCCCTGTTTCCACGAAAATTTAAAAAAAAAAAAAAAAGTGTGAGCTGGAGCTGTTGGTCGTTCTTTCATTTGTGTGTAGTGAAGTCCTTCGAGGAGTTTGTTCTTACATCTTGTCCCTGTGAGTTGATCTGATATTCTCTTTGTCTCGTCTTCTGCAGAACTTCTCTCAGCCAAACCACCACTTAGCATCACTTTGTTTCTCAGTCACTTCAGCCTTCCTCGGGGCTGGCCTTAAAATTGCAAACTGGAGCAACAGCAGCCAAGACCGGATCCGGTGTCTCATGGTGTCCCTGGTGTGATGCAGAATAGTGGCAAAATGCAGCGTAGCATAGAGTAGAACGAGTAACTGTGGCATGTAGAGAGAGAAACAACATCCTTGGTGTGTTTATGCTGTTGTGCAGTTACGTTTTAAACATGTTTATAGTGCTCACTTGGCATTTCTTACTGTCCGGCCGCCTTTTTGTAGTCCTTGGGTTGGTTGGTCGGGTTGTTTGAAAGGTCAGTGTGTTAAATCATCTCCATTTTGTGGTAGGATACCTTGGAAAAGTGGGGTTTTTTTACTTAGCTCAGTGCCTGCAGTCCCTCTACACAGGCTTATCCTTCGGTCTGCCCTGATTCCTTTGCAGGATTTGGGCCTTTTGTTTGGAATAGGTCAGTAGGCTGGTATTTTAAAATAGAAGTTTTCTGAGTACCTTGCTTTAAAAGGATTAAACTGTATACTTAATTTTCCTAGAGATGGTGGAAGCACTATGTACTGTTTGTATAAAAAGCTGAATGTTTCTCCTCCCAAGTTTTCAGTAAATCAACATTTAAGACTTTAAAGGTGTCTCGTGCCCCTGTCGCTGTGTCTGTGTCCTCAGTACGACTCGTGAACTGATTCACTTCCAATTAAGATGCAATTCCAGTTACCTTGTGCTTTAAATAAAACCTGATTTCAAACAGCACTTTTTTTAAATTGATAAACTTGATTTGTATATAGGAGATGGTGTACATTGCTGAGTTTATAATGTTTAATAAATGGGGTTCTGCCCATGGACCGTGAAACCAGAGTGCTCCTATGGTTTGTGTCATCATCTTGAATGAGTAGCATTTTTCTGTTCCCTTTTCTCCCTTCCTGCCTGTGTTCTGAGGGTGCAGTTAACTTCTTTAGCACAAAAAAATGAAGGAGATTCTGCCAACTACATCGGCAAAACAAAGTGGTGGCTGTTCTGGGAGGTGAGAATGGTGCTTGTTTTAGCAAAACCCCAACAGCAGTTTTCTTTGCTGGTGTTTGTGGTCAAGAAGTGGAGTCTTTCCTCGTTGTAAATATGTGTCAGGGAACATCTGTGGAATTGGGACAACAGCCACAGGAGTGCCATGGCTCCACTGGCAGTGTCCTCATCCTGCTACAGTTCTTATCACTTGTTTAAAAAAAAAAAAGAAGTGTGGTGTCTGGGATCAATAAAAAATCCCTCTGAGACATTACTAAAGGTTGACCAGCTGAGGAGTAGAAAGATGATATTGATTTTTTAATTGATAATAATAGTATATCATTATACCACCCATGGTGCCGAGGTTGGGACTGCAGGGCAGATCTCTCAAGGTTGGATCTTGACAGATGCAGTTCCAAAATGGGATTTTATTTCCTGTTTATAGTGACCACAACAGCCCCAGAGCGGGCACAGACTCTACAGCCCTCCTGGCCCTTTTCAGCACCCAGTGACAGCTCTGGGGAGTGACCAGAACAAAGTCCTTTTCCCCTTTTTCCACCCTCCAGGGACACCAATTTATCCTTTACTGCAGCAGATGGAATCATGAACTCGGGTCTTCCCACTCTTGCAAAGAATTACCTGTTTTAATGAATGCTGGTTCATATTTTTTAAAAGTGAGCAGTGATTGTTTTTTTCAGTCAGAGCACAACATTTGCTAATTTGGATGTTAAGTTATTTAAACCACTTGGTATTTTTCATTATGGCTACTGGTAAGTGATGTTCTCCTGGCTGCAGTACCACGGTCCTCAGATGAATCTGTGCTTGTGCAGGACTTTGAAAATAGATTTAGTGCTTTATTTTTACCTCAGTGACTATTTTTCCGTGCTTTGGGAGCAACAATCTTCAAGGAGCCTCATGAGACCACAAGAACTACCTTAATTTTTTATAAACAGTCTTTGCTGCTATTTTAAGAACACATGTTTCAACATGGTGGCAGGAACACACCATCCCTGCCACCATTTCTTTTATTACTGTATAAGCTTTTTAATTTTTCAGACCTTCAGTTTGTGATAGTTCAGCCTCACATAATTGTATCTGCAAACATGAAAATCTTCCTTTCAAAAGACAGAGTAGAAAGAGACTGTTCCAGGGAGATTCTGTGTGGTAAAATGTGTCATCTTTGGGATGATATTTTGAATTTGTGCAGGTATTTCTTAAGTATTTGGTCTAACATCTGAACACTAAGGCACATTGCATGTCAAACTCTTCAAAGGAACTGGTTTCAGTTCAAGAATAAAACTAAAAGGCAAGAAATTGAGGCAAGGCAGAAAAGAGGTGGGTGTTTTCAGATGAAGTGGGAAGATATGTGACAGAATCCACTACAGTTATATTTTTAAGAGGCACTCTTATCCCTAAATTATGCCACCTGCAGAAAAATCTGTGGATAAAAATAATACGTAAAATAGTCACAACTATTTATATTAATTCAGCACTTTGTTATTTTCTTCATTTCAGGAGAAGAAAGGGAAGTTGTAAGAAGCTCAAGGTACTGTCTAGAGTCTAATAGAAGAATTAACAGTGAACAATAGAGAGTTGCTTATTTATTTTCACATGTTAAATATTTCAAAAGTTAACTTTTCAGGCCCGTTTCTGCTCAGTTTATTTATTTGTTCCAATGTGTTGGTGTGTTTGCAGCCGGGGGGGGTGGATTTTACCCAGCTATTCCTTTGTTTGAGATAACCAAGTGCCACAAAGAGGGAATATTTATGACACTGAAGAATTTCAATTGCAGTGGTGCTTGGCCGTAATATTGAACTCATTATTTATATTTTTAGCAAACAGCTAGGATAGTATTATGTTCATTTTTAGTGGATACTATCCCTGTGTTACACCTGTAACATGGGACTGTTTCTCTCTCTCTCCATAAATAGGCAGAGCAGTTTCTCTTCAAAACTAGTTTTTAAGCTAAAAATGTTCCTTCAGTGCAGCCACTGTCCAACTGATGCAGTTTCATAGGCTGTAACTACAGTTGTTACAATAAAACTTAAGAAAACGTTTTCTTTTTGATTACTTGTCATTATTTGAGTAATTCCTTAAAAACTTTGTAGTTGTGAGATAGAAGAAACATTAACTTTCTACAAGCAATCCAAAAGGTTAATGAATACCTCTGGAAAACTTGCATATTGGTTATTCATTGAATAGTAGAGAAGCAGTTTAAATCTTAATTTTTAATTATATGTGGTACATGAGCCAAGAGTTTAAAGGATCATTAGCGACAGAGAAGAGGTTAAGGGGATATATGTTGTTCTAGGATTTATATGCTGCCATAAACTAAGCAAAACGGCTCAGATGAGCTATTTAACTGACGTTTAACCACACTACATCTTTATAAATTAACATATATAACAATATATGTTATTAACGATAACATTCGTTCTGTGAACGAGTGGGTGTCGTCTCAGCTGTGCGTGGTTTCCCCCCCGGGAGGAGCCGCGGTGGCTCCCTGGTGTCCCTCCCTAGCTCAGGTTCCTGCAGTGCGAGGGCCCGCTGGGGTTGTAGCTGGGGTGGAAGTCCATGTGCTCGTAGGCGGTGATGAAGGTGTCGGGGCCCGTGCAGTAGCTCTTCTCCAGCGAGGTGTTGAGGCTGTTGTTCCTGTACATGCCAGCCTTGCCCAGATGATCCGAAAACTTGTGCGAGATGACGCGGAAGCAGGTCTGGGGAGGGGCGAGAAAAGAAGGGAGATGTTTAAAACTGCTCCCAGCGACAGCGCCTGCGAAGTTTGGATGCAAAGTTGGGTTTCGGCTACCGGAGACCCCGCGGAGGGCAGAGCTTGGCCGTGCTGGCCCCGAGCCCCCCGGGGGTCCCTCCGTCACCTACCGGCAGCTCGTGCACCGTGGGGGCCCTGCTGCCGTAGGTCTGGTTGGTGGTGCGGAACCGGGGGTGCGGCGCCGGCTGCCTGCGGGGCGAGAGCACAGGGTAGGGGGGGGGGGGGGCACGGGGGGCTCCGGGGGTCCCGCCCCGAGCTCCCCGCTCACCCGTAGCCGCGGTAGAAGGCGGGCTGTCGGAAGCGGCCGGGCAGCCCGGGGTCGGACATGGCTCGGGGCACGGAGCGTTGCTCGGCGACGGGACGCGATCGCGCCGCGCTCCGCCCCGGGGAGGGCGCGGGGCCCGCCCCGCCCCGCAGGAAGCGGAAAGCGCCGCTGACCTTCCTCATCCTCCTCCTGCTCCCGCTGCTCCTGCTGCCCCGCGGTGCCCTCGGAGCATGGCGGTGCCGCGGCTCCTGCGGGCAGGTGAGCGGGCGATGCCCAGCCCCGCCCGGTCCGCCCCGGCCCCCCCGTGTGACCCCCGTGTTTCTCTCCCGCAGCGGCCCCGCGGCTCTACAGCACCGTCCTGGTACCGGCCACGGCCCCGGTGGCGACCCAGCCCAGCGGTGAGTGTTTTCCCTCCCCGGGTCCAGGCCAGGAGCGATGCCCGTGCAGGTATCGCCTCGTTGCAGCAGGTGGTCGTGGGTGCATCGGGGTCCTTTCTGCACTCACAACTCGTCCCCCAAAACACCAGAGGGAGCAGTGATTGATTGTTTCCCTTCTCTCAGCTGCAGATGACAAGCTGCTGTCAGAACCTCTCAGCCACCCCGACTTCTTCAACGTGAAGGAGCTGTTCACCCTGAAGGATCTCTTTGATGCTCGGGTGCACCTGGGCCACAAAAAGGGCTGTCGGCACAGGTGAGTGGAATTATTTCATCATCCAGTGCTCGTTGGCATCAGGAGTGCTTCCATAAACAATGTTTGCTTTGAGGGCTGCACTAGATTGGTCTGAGCCTGGAACAGCCCACACAGGGCAGATTACAGGGACCCGAGGGGGAGTGAGACCCACAGTCCCCCAAGCCCAGCTGGAACAGACACTGGGCACGAGGGCTCTCTGCAGAGAGCACCTCCGGTATCAGCCGGGAGCTGGAGTGGGGGAAAGGAAGGTTCCTGTGCTGCCACCCCACATCCAGAAGCGCTCGGTGCCTGCACACCTCGTCCCCGTGCCCCTGTGCCGCCCTCCCTCTGCCCCCACAGGTTCATGGAGCCCTACATCTTCGGCTGCCGGCTGGATCAGGACATCATCGACCTGGAGCAGACCATGCAGCACCTCCAGCTGGCCCTCAACTTCACGGCCCACATCGCCTACCGCAAGGGCATCATCCTCTTCATCAGCCGCAAGCGCCAGTTCTGCCACCTGGTGGAGTGCACGGCGCGGGCCTGCGGCGAGTACGCGCACACGCGCTACTGGCAGGGCGGGCTCCTCACCAACGCCCACATCCAGTTCGGCGCCGGCGTCCGCCTGCCCGACCTCATCGTCTTCCTCAGCAGCCTCAACAACGTCTTCCAGACGCACGTGGCCGTCCGGGACGCTGCCAAGATGAACATCCCCACGGTGGGCGTGGTGGACACGAACTGCAACCCCTCCCTGATCACCTACCCGATCCCCGGCAACGACGACAGCCCCTCGGCCGTGGAGCTCTACTGCAAACTCTTCAGGATGACCATCATCCGCGCCAAGGACAAGAGGCGGCAGAGCGAGGCCGTCGAGGAGCTGCGGAGGAAAGCTGAGGGCAATTAGACGGGCTCAGTGCCTTAGGGATGGGCCTCCTGCTCCAGTTCCACAGGACTGGCTCTGCACTCCAGGCACCGGCTTCTGGCAGGGCTGGGCTGGCTGTGGAAGGGACCCCCCAGCTCTGCTGTGCGCAGAGATCCTGTGGTGGTCACAGCCACAGACAGTTCCCGGCTCAAATTGCTCCCTCCAGAGCCACGCAGGGAAAATGGAGCCAGGCCAGACCTTGCCCCATTCCTTGGCTTTGTCCCTGTTGCAAGGAGGTGCCGATGTCCTGTGGCCTTCCCGTTCCTGAGCTCGTGATCTCACCTGAAACCAGTTGTATCTCGCACCTCTTCTTAACAAATAAAGGGGTTTATCCCTCTGATCCTTTTTGTTTCTTCCATGGTGAAATGGGGAGTCTGCAATGCCGGGGGAGTCAAGGCAATGGGAGGGAAAGGGATGAAGGATGTCCCCAAGCTGGGGACATTGCAGGGTGGCTGGTGCATCACAGAGCTGGAGGGGCCTCAATGGGAGCTGGAGGGTCCCCACTGGCTGGTGCATCACAGGATTGAAGGATCTCCATCATGCATCATGGGGCTGGAGGGTCCATGCTTTGTCCCAGGACGTGCTCGGAGCCAAACCACGGGAAGCAGGGACTCCCGAAGCAGCTGAGAAAAGGGATATCCATCCCCTAGTACGCCTCGTGCTTCCATGGAAGGCCCTAGGGCAGTCTTGCAGCGTGGGGAAGAGCCCTGAGCAGGGCCCCCCGTCCTTGGTCTGTGTCCCCCTCCCGTGTCCCTGGTCCCTGCTTTGAGACCTCCCGCCCAGCAGGGGGCGCTCTCGGGCGCGAAAGCACCACGCAGGCCCTTCCGTTCCCGGCCTATATAAGCGGGAGGCGGGGGTTGGATCGTCCTTTCTGCGGGCGCCGAGTGCAGCGTGCTGGTCTTCAGGGGTTCCTCAGTGGGACCGAGAATGGGAGCGGGACCGGCCCTTCCCGGCCCGGTCATGGCGAAACTGAGGGGCCCCTCAGTGGCGGGAAGCCGGTGCTGGCCGAGGAGGGCCCGCCCGGGCAGGGCCGCGCTGCCCTTCCCGCGCCATGTTGTGGCGAAGCTCCCTGAGGGCCGGTCCCGCTTCCCCTCGGCCCCGGCGCTGAGCGGCCCCGGCGGGGGGACGTGAGGGGGAGAGTGAAGGTAAGGCGGGTCCCCGCTCAGCTGGACCCATCCTGGAGGGGCCGCGGTTCCCCCGGGGCTCCGGGGGCTCCAGGCGCTGCCACGTGCGCTGCAAATCCGGTATATCTTCAACTCGTGTATAGGAATGGCCTAGGGCTGTTATATGTATATATGTATAAATATATATATACACACACACAGATATCTGAATACAGCTGTATATATTTTAATATATAAATTTCAATATATGCATGTAATATATATTTTAATATATACTCCCCCTCCGAGGAGGGGAAGAAAATCTAAGGCTGCCGCCTATTCAGGTTTTCAGGAAAATATTTTTTTAAAGATTCAAGTAGCTAAAATTAATCTTCGGCTGATATTATGGTTTTTTTTAATTATGTTTTAAATATCTGGTTAAATGGTGCATTTCGCCAAAAAAAAAAGGTGGTTGTGTAGTTTGCTTAACACTTGTGTGGTATTAACTGCATTCTTTATTTGTCTTTTTTCAGCCCATCAGGCAAAAAGTGAAGGGGCAGAGATTGTGTGTCTTCAGAAAAGAAGGGTGATGGTTCACACAAAGGCTGCCCACTGAATGCCTTTGTAACACTGCTTTCCAAGAGGTGATATAATCTTCTTATAAATACCATAAAATCATGGAATAGTTTGGACTGGAAGGGAACTTAAAACTCATCTCACTGAACCTCCTGCCACGGGCAGGGACACCTTCCCCTAGACCAGGTTGCTCATCCAGCCTGGCCTCGAATGCTTCCAGGGGTGTGACATCCACCCATAATTGCATTTTCTTCAGGCTTTATGCTTTTGATTTTGGGATTTTTTTTTTTTATTTCCCAAGCTGCCACTGGCGTTGCAGAGATGGCTGCTGTGGCATCTTTGTGTCAAGACGTGGCAAGAGAGACAGGCTGTGTTCTACGCTCGTTTGCTCTGCAGCCCGTGAGCACTCAGAGTGATTGACAGCCTGACATCATTAATAAACCAGCTGCTCCCGAGGAGACTGGTGAAAAACTCACTTTTGGTTGCCCTAAGTGTGAGATCTGTGTGTGTAGCACGATGGGAAGTTGTTCTGTTTGACCTGTAGTGGATGTGCTGCAGAGAGGCTGCACGTGGCTTTATGATTATATAGCCTTGAAAAACAGATCCTGTGGGTACAATCTTGTAGAAGAATGAGTTAAAGTTATTAGTCTAAAGCCGTGTGGTGAGTTGGTGACATCACTGGGAGCATGTCCTGGGAGTCACCAACCCTGTTTCTATCCAAAAACATTCCTCTGCTATGCATTTATTTCTTTCAAGTTCCTGTCATCAGTGAAACAGTAACTGTATAACCAGGCTTTGAAGTGTGTCTGAACCCTGTGTATGTGTTTTCCAGACAAAGCCACATGACTGGCAGAGCAGGAGGTGTCCCAGAGCCGAGGTGAGCCACAGCAGTGTGAGTTGCCCACACAGCCCTGCCCCATCTCGTGTTGCAGGCGTGGCTGCAGTGCCACGTCTGTGTCAATCGGTGGCAGAGAGGAACAGGAGACTCCTTCCCTGGTGCTCTGACTCCTGTGAGCTCCCAGGATTGCTCAACAACCTGACATTTATTTATTTATGCTTTTCCTGTTTGTGGCTTTTTTTTTTCCCCTTTAATGTAAATCTGAAATGGTGGACAGGGCACAGCAGCTGTTTTACTAACACTGTGTTAAAAGCTAATTCAGATTTCTTTTATTGCTTTAGACATTCACTGAATGGTTTGGGTTAGAAGGGACTTTAAAGATCATCTCATTCCACCCCCTCCATGGGCAGGGACACCTTCCACTGTCCCAGGTTGCTCCAAGCCCTGTCCAACCTGGCCTTGGACACTTCCAGGGATGGGGCAGCCACAGTTTCTTTGGGCAGCCTGTGCCAGGGCCTCCCCACCCTCACAGGGAAGGATTTTTTTCCAATATCTCATCTAAACTTCCCCCCTTTCAGTTAAAAGCCATTTCCCCTTGTCCTGTCACTGGATGCTCTCGTGAGGATTGGCAAATTGTGGTATTATCTATTCCAATAATCCTGAGTCCTTGGAGATTTGCTCTCCATTGATCTCATTAGAGGTCAGAGATCAGAGATGAGTTGCTTGATGTTGTTTCCACATTTAACTCTCTCTCCAGAGAATCAGCAGAAGGTGGAGCACAATTCCTTTTAAGAGCAGTTAAAATGATGTCAGTTTTAACTGCATCAGGGGAAGATCCTTCCCTATTTTTACAAGGACAAGTAGAAGTGGCAGCTCTGTTCCTGAATTCTATTTTTACTCCTTCCTGGCCTTAGAGATATTCTTGATTGCTGCCTGTGAAAGGGCACCTCGAGCTGTGCAGGGTTTGGCATTGTGTAGCTATCAAGAACTGTACCTGGGAGTGGAGGAGATGAGGAAAACAGGCACTTAAACTTTGTTTCCAAAACATGGGCAGGGTTACAGATGGAGATGGGTGTGGATTTAGCATAGGGAGGAAATAACACCTGGAGTAAATTAAAGCAGAAGATGCAATCAGGAATCTTCTGAAATGTGGCTTTGTAATCAGGCTTGCTTTTTGGGGGGGGGAAACACAAAATCAATTCAATCCTTTACCAAAAAAACCCAAACTGAGGATGTTTTTCCTTCTCACAGTTCCTCTCGAGAGCAGGGCTGAGTTCTGGAATGATCTTCAAATGTCAAAGGTGGGTGTTGGGTCATTTCTCAACGTGTTACCAAAGTGAGTGGAAAGAAACCCTTGTGTTGGTACATCTTGTCCTGCTGAACTTCTTGCAGGACGTGGACAAAAAAAAATTAAAATGCTACTAAAACATTCTTGGACAAAAAAAACCTTAAAATTCAGTATTTTTTCATCTTTTTTTGCTGACAAACCCCTATTTTAAGTGAAGGACTTTCAGGTTCTGCTAATGCAGGCATTTTTGTGAGCAGTGTTTAACACCTTTGATTGACACTTATTTCAGTTTCTCAAACTGCCTTTCTCAGCTCCCAAAGTGCCTCCTTTCAGGGACAGCTCTGTCAGGCCAAGAGCTTAAACTTTTATGTGCCTGAAGATTCTCTAAACAGGCTCTGGTGCTGCTGACACAAAACTGCTGCAATCATGTTTGTGACACAGAAAATAGAGATGATCTCTTAGAGAGGTAATGGAGAGAGAAATAAAAATACTGATTTTGGTAATCCAGGGAAAAATTTAATGCTGAAACTTTGAAATCTTTTGAAATCCTTCAGGAGTGATTTCAAGTGCAGCAGTGCTTTGCCCTGTTTCCCAAGACAGGATCTCACTTCCCCATGCATCGTGTTCTGGCTGGTAAAACATCAGACAAGAAACAAAAATATAATTTATTGAGCACAGTATGAGTTTTTAATTGTTTTTTTTGTCGTTGTGTTTATTTTCTGGCACAATGGCAAAGGGATCTCCAAGGAGGGAGCACAGGTGTCCCTGTATGCAGATAGTCCTGTGTGTCACTGTCCTTCCTTGGGTGACATGAGGCACATGAACCTGTTCTGGGAATGAGAGGGGAGAGGAGTTCTGACCACACAGAGATTGTGGAACTGAGGCTTTGCAGCTCTGACAGACTCTGGCAGAGCTAAATGGAGTGAAACCTCATTAAATGGGCATTAAGGAGGGCCAGAGGTGCTGCAGAGCCTGCAGGTTGTGCTGGCTGCAAAGTGAGCCCTTTAATTGGGAAAAGTCACTGCCTCCAGCAGTGGCTTTGGAAAAGAATGCTAATCAGGTTGGGGGGAGATGGTTATGCCTCGGGATGTGACTCTTCTATTTAAATTTCCTGGCTTCTTTCAACCCTAAAATACATGTTTGGGGTTTTTCATCAGGCTTTACTCCCATCAGGGGTCCTGGATGGGCCGTGAGTGCTAATGAGTGTCTGCAGAACTTCCCTGTGTGAGGCACAGGATAACTATGAACATTTTCCTGGTAGCATTTGCTGTGAACTGCCTCCCTCAGCCTCAGCAGCACTCCTGGGCCAAGAATTTGGCTTTACTGAGAGAATACCTGGCTCTCCACTGTGGAAAAGAGAAATGTTTTGTATTAAGATGGTTTTGAGCGAAATTAAAAATGTCTCAGCACATAACTTAGCCCTTCATCATCTAAGACTGGTTTCTGTCATGGCTTTGAACACTGGAAGAAGCCCAGCTTTTCCTTCCCTGCACTATTAATAGTTTGGCTCTGCCCTGAGGTTGGCAAACTCAGCTTGGATTTTTAGGGAGTGAAGGAATAACCCAGAGCAGGCTCCAGCTATCCTGCTCTTCAATTAGCCCTTTCCTAAACTCACCCAACTGTCCTGTGTGCCCAGACAGATATTTTTCCAAAAGCTTTCTGATGGAATGGTGAAGAATTTGGCACCTAAATTGGTGCCATCTGCTTCTGTCTCTGCTGTGGGTCCTGAGCCACACAGATGTCCAGGCATGGAATCCAGGCAATGGGATTTGAGGTGTTCCTGTGGTTCTGGACTGAAGGAAATCCTTTTCTAAAAGTAACCTTGTGAACCTTCATAACTGAGCCCTTCTAATGACTGCCCTAACATTTGGGTTCATATTATGAAGCTTTTTTATTTCACATCTGGGATGTAAAAAATCTTTGGACAATTCCAAGATGACGGAGGGCAGCAGAGTCTGGATAACAGGAGTTAAGTAGCTCCTTAGTATTCACATTATTTCTCCCTTTTCCTGGCTGTGTTAGAATTTGTCTGACATCCTGGGCCCTCTCTTTATTTGCAGGTCATGGCCTGAGTTTCAGAATTCCTAAGAGAAGTGTCAGCAGCAAACGAAGTGATTGGCAGTGTCTGCATGTGAAGATTCGTGGATTCCTCAAAAGCTGATGATCATCTGTGTTTTCTCTACATGGCTAAGAAACATTTTTAAAAAAAAAACTAAATAAAGATGCCACCTACCATAAGTCTGAATGGTGCTTGTGTAGTTGTAGCACCCCAAGTAACACTATTTTTTTTAACCATTCTAGGATTTAAGACTTCTGTTTGCAGATCTGGGAGCTGGGATGGTTTTGTACTTCCTGCAATTAAAAGTATTTCTTACCTCCATCCCCTTGGGCACAAATCTCTGCTGCAGAAGCAGCAGCATCCAGTAAGATCAGATTATCAGTGTTTGTGTTCTGGCTTTTTATTCCAGCCTCTGTGGGAAATCTGGAGGAGGTCTGACTGTAAAATAGCTTTGCCTTTACTCATTCTCTCCTGTATTCCTGTGTAGCTTGTAAACCATGAGCGCTGCAAAGAAAGACTTTGTGCTTTTTAGGGATGAGCAAAACTGTGCTTTTGGGGTTTTTGAGTCATCAGTGATCCCTGGGAGTGTCCAGTGCTGTGGGATATGTGGATCAATGATGGTGATGGGACAAGCTGTTGTCAGAAGTGTTTATTTCAATAAATCTTGTCAGGTACAGGGGCTGCTTCTCCTGGATCTTCACCATAATTACTTAAAAATTCTGATATTGAGGGGAAAACCCCTTTCCTTTTCCAGGTGCTTGCCTGCTGCTTTAACACTGCTTTGGGGGAAAGGAGCAGCAGGGATGTAGTGGGAATATCTGGACAAAATTTACCAGTAAATAAGAGAGGGGAAGGTGAGAAATGGCTTCTCTGATGACCTGAGGAGGGCACTTGCCATGGGGGGGTGTTGGATTCCTTTGCTAATAGCAGAAGCAAATTAATTTGCCAGTGGAGCTGGTTGCCATGGGGATGCAGGACAATGGATGAGCTGCAGTGGCTGTGTGGAGATTCATTATGGAATTCCAGTGAATTCCAGCCCTGCCCACGTGCTCCCTCCTGTGCAGGTGAACCCACACCTTCCAGGGGGCCCTGCTCACCTTGGCAGCATCTGTAGCTGAGCCAGGGTAACTGAGGACTTGTCACCCTCCAAACACAGAAACTTTGGGAGTGCTCAGCCTATCCAGGGATAAATTGCACTGCAGAGGCCACTCCTCAGCAGGGAGTGAGCTCTGTGCTGGATACAGGGCCCCGCTGACTCCATAAACACCACTGCGAGGTGATGAGGATCCGAAAGAACTAACACAAGGAAATCCTGGTCTCTCTCCTCAAAGGGCTCCTAAATGTGTAGCCACAGCTCTGCTGATCACATTCCCAGGTGATACTGTCAGGTGTGGTTTTAATTGGGATTGTACATCAGCTGCACGCTCCACTGAGGAATTGTTGGCAGGAGAACAACCGTGTGGCCCAGCAGCAGGAATACGGCTGTGCTGGGAACAGAGCAGCCTTGGGGGAGTTTATAAAAGCTCTTCCTCCCTACCCACAGTTTCAAGATTGCTATAATTGGGCATTTAAAGGAAACGACTATAGTTAGAGCCCTGGTAGTACATACACAGCCAAACAAATGTCTTGAGACCTGCTGAAAGCTTGCCTGGAAATTCACTTTAATAACAAGAGAAGCACTGGATTATTCTGGTATTAACCTTCAACCTCTGCAGGGCAAGCCCAGCTTAGTTTTAGGAGAATTAAACCGAGAGGTTGGTTTATCCCTGCTCTGAGTGTGGTGGGAAGGGACACACGGAGCACATTAACGGGTCAGAACTGTTCATGTTTAGCCCTTTGCCTTTAGGCTCTCCTTGGCCTTAGAGCTTCCAAAGCCAACATGTGAGGGAATGGCCTGTGCTGCCAATTTTGGACTTGGGGTGGGAGCAGCCGAGTGGGAGCCTCACACAAGCCATGGCATCACTGTCAGGGTCAGGCACTTAAAAATGGAACCAAAGAATTGCCAGGATTCTCCACTGTGGAACAGACTGATTATCTGCTTCCTATGTTACAGCTGGATCTGATGGCAGATGACTCAGACACTTAAGGAGAGACTTTTGAATCAGGAAATCTACCTTTTCCTCCTTTTTAGATCACAAACAAGCTGGTACTTAACAGGCTGCTGTTTCACTATTGATGTACTGGTGTGATTCACGTAAAAGCTGTTTATTTACATCAGAGACGTTCATCAAAAGAAGATGTGACAAGTACAGCATGAATGATTCATTCCCATCACTCTGCTCTGCTTTCCTGTTAATCAAGAAACACTTAGATGTATCCAGCTGGGCTCTGCTTCCTTATCCCTTTCCATGTCATCTTCCTCCCCCAAGCCTGTCCAGCCTGGTGTCCCAGCTCTGCAGACACTCCTGCTGACTGATCCATGATCCTGCTGGGCGGTGGAAGTCATGAAGCTTGGTTTTCCATGGAGAAGGGGCTGCAGCTCTGCTGAACTCCCTGTGCAGGGTGTGTTTTACCTGTGGGGAAGATGGAGAAACAGGCCTTCAGCCCTTGGACTTGACTCCGAGGTGGCAGATCCTAAACTCCGGGGCCGTGCTTCCCCCGTTAGGAATATTTGGTGTTGGAAATCTTCTTCCAGAGCAAGGTCTTGAGGTTGTTGAGCACGAGGGAGTGGTGCACCTCCATCTGGCTGGCCAGGCCGCTGAGGGTCGTGCAAGTTCGGAGCTGCTTCTGCAGCTCATCCTTCAGCTCCAGCGGCGCCCCGTACAGCAAGTAGTCCTGCAGCAACCCGCACACCTTGGCCAGGTTGGGCTGCACCATGTCGCCCTTGCACTGCTTCAGCAGCTTGTCACAGGCCGCCGTGCAGTCCCGCCCGTAGGTGCAGTCCACGTTCTGCTCACAGTGACGCCCCTTGAGGAACCCCCTGATTGTCGCCTCCGTCGCCACCTTCCTCAGGTCGACCATCTTGAAGTCGAACTTGTCGTTGTAGCCCACGTTCCTGAAGCCCGTCTCGCAGATGTAGAAGCTCCCATAGGTGCCGTGGAAAATCTCCTCCACGAACTCCAGGAGGCCGATGGCGATCTTGGCGCGCCGGGGCCACGCCGGCGCGAACCACTGGTGGAGGAGCTGGTGGGCGACGGAAGGCAGCAGCGACTGGAGGAAGGGGGGGACATCCAGCCCGTAGAGGGAGGTGTGGGGGATCTTCTCGGTGACGTAGAGGTCCCCACAGTGCCCCAGCAGCTTGGCAGTGTGCTCCTTCTCGTGCAGGGAGAACATGAGAAGAAACTCATTGAGCTGCAGCAGCGCCCAGATGGATTTGGCCTCGGCCAGAGACACTTTCCCGTCGCGGTTCACGTCGGCCATGGCGATGATCCGGCTCACCAGGGCTGGGAGGGATGGCTGATCTCCCAGCTTGGACTGCAAACGGGACAAGAGGTGGCATCAGACCCCCAGAGCCCTCTGTGTTTGGGTGTCATATCACAAAACCGAACCAGGAGTGTGAAGACCCGAGCTGGGGAGAGGAGGAAACAGCACCACACTCCAGAAGATCTGATGCCACAACATTGTGTGGATGGATTCAGCTCCAGCAGAATGTTACCAGCCTCAGGGCTCCAGACAGGAGCATGGTTTTGGGAGCAAAGGCCAGGCACCACTGCTGCCCCACTGCTGCCCCAGAAGCCCCACACAGGGGTAACTACCAGGGCCACCATGGGCTTGTGAATCAGCTCTGCCCAGCACAGATGCCACCCAGAGCCAAGGCACAGAGGCCTCCAGGGCTGCTGCTACTCAAATATCACAAATAAGAGCTCCTGGGAGAAAATGGAGGTTTTTCTCCACTAATCCAGTACGTGGCAGGGAGCACCCAGCCCAGCACCCAGCAGTGGGTGGGGGAGTGTCAGCCAGAGGAGATCTCGTTCAAGGGAAAGACACAATTAGTCTTCCCAACTTGTAGGTGGCATCCTGGGCCTGTGGGATCCCACAAGACCCTTGCACTGACCTTGAGGAAGTTGAGGAGCATTTCTTTGAACTCATCCATGGACGTCCCCCGTGTGGGTTTGTCGAAGAGCACCACGTCCCTCCTGGGCACAGAGTCCGGGCGGCTGTCTGCCCTCAGGGCTTCTCCAATGCCACATTTGATGATCACCTCCCTGTCCCTCCAGAGCCCGCTGTAAACCTGCAGCACAGGGGAGGGGACAGGGCGAGGTGGGAGGAGAAGAGCAAGTGCAAAAAAACCCCCAAAGCTGGGTTCTGGTTTGGTTGAGGACAGGAACAGGGATGGGGTGAGGAGGAGGTCTCCCAGGTTTTATGCCTGTACCCATCCCATGCCATGTGGTGGAGGAGGCAGAGACCTACCTGCTGGGTGGGAGAGGAGGAAAGGCAGTGCTGGAAGAGGAGGCCATGCTCCTCACACAGGTCCTTGCACGTGGAGCCAGAAATGATTCCTTTCTTGTACTGGTCACACTGGGGAGGGGAAGGAGAGAGAGAGGAGCTCAGCAGGGGCAGCTTCACATTCACCTGAAGAAGTCTGATAGATCCAAGCTTATTCCCACAGCTCATGGAGCACCCCAAGCACACAAGCTGGGGGTATGTGACCCCCTCAGACACCCATGCCATGCCAGCACAGTGTGCAGGTGGTTTTGGGTGATGTCTGCACCTTGGTGGCCATTTCAGCCACTTCAGGGGGCCGGGAGGGAGGGGAGGACCTTGTGCTCAGACCTTGGTCAGGGAGATGTAGTGCCAATTGCTCAGAGTCCAACCTCTTCCAGCACCCCCAAACTTCCTATTCCGTTTTCCAAAGATGTCCCAGCCCAAAATCTCCTCTGCTCTAAGACCCAGAGATGGGTCTGGCCCATGGGGATGGCTCACTACCTTGGGCACAGTGGGGCTGGGCTGGCAGGGACACCCTGTTCTGCTGGAGGGACCTCAGGAGATTTGCTCCTGGATGCAAATCCAGGAGTTTGGGAGAGCTTCCAGGGCTGGAGGAGAAGACAGTGTGGATTTGAGGAGAATGAGGATGCAGAGGCTGAGGCTGCTCAGCAGAGCAGCAGCCCCTGCTGCGAGATGGGCTGGCCCTGGTCCAGGGGGTGGCAGGGACAGGGACAGACGGTGGCTCTGATCCTCTGGGCTGGGAGCTGGAGTCATCCCTGGGCAGGAGAGGCTGCAGCACTGCAGCTCCTCAGCGAGGGCACAGCAGCCTCGGGGCTGGAAGCAGGAGCTGCAGACATTCACTGCATCTTTTCCTTCTTTTTTTTTTTTTCTGATGTGGATGGGAATTAACCCTTGGACCTGCTCACAGGAGACACGGCCAGACAGAGTGTCTGGAACTCTGAGCTCAGAGCAGAAATTAGCGCCCAAGACCCCATGGTCGGAGTCAGGCAGAAAATCAAATTAAACGATCTCATCGCTGTTGTTATGGCAATTCCTGCCTCCCTCCTCTGCTGGGGGATTGACCAACAAGGCATGTTCTGACAGAGCCTGGCGTCCCCCTCCTCCCCTGGGCTGGGCAGGTGACTTGCTCCCCTGCCATGGGCCACACAAAGCGATCCCGGGGGCATCCCGCTGGGATCTGTGGGGGACAGGCTGCACCCTACTGCAAACCCCAGGCAGGGGAAAAACACACCAAGCCAAGCTGCCACGAGGTGTCTGCTCTGGTGCTTTCCTTAGGGCACATCAGCAACTACAGAGAGGTACCCACGGACTGGCTGCTCCCCGTTTTTCCCCAGCTCTGTGGAGCCCAGGGTGGGTGGCACGATGCTGTCCCTGCCCACAGAAGCTGCTCGCTGATTTTCCAGCTTCATCTCCACAGGCATTAATCTGCCCACGTCTGCCTGGTCTGCCCTGGCTGCTTCCCTCCGACATCTCATTACCCTGTTTCTCCCTCTCCCTGGCAGGGGAAGGTCACCTCTCCCGCCCCCGGGGACGGCGCCAGGGAAGCAGCTGCCAGGAGGGCTCCGTGGCCCAGCTTTGGGGCTTGGGAGGCAGGGAATGGGGCTCCCACGGCCCTGCTCACCCCAGCACCCCAAACTGGCCCACTCACAATTATCATCCGGCAGACGTGGCCGCGGCAGAGCTCGGAGTAGGACGAGTAGTGCATGTAGGCCACCCAGCTGCCCACGAAGATGCCCAGCCACACCACCAGCAGGTACTTCACCTTGATGCCCGGGAGGCGACCCTAGAAGGGAAAGGAAAGGCTGGTGAAGGGTAGGGCTCTGCCCAGGGCAGCGGCAGCCGGACAAGGACAACTTCTGCTGTACAAACTGACCTGAGCGTTGGCGAAACCTTCAGCCTTTTTTATATATATTCATCAGCCTATTATGCAACTCCTGCTTCAAGTAGGTCACTTAAAATTCCCTAAAAGCAGGGAGATTACAGCACTGGGCTGCAAGAGCTGGATGCTGTGCATCCCTGGGAGCTGCAGCCATGAACACCTGCTCTCCTGCCCTTCCCCTGTCGGGGCTGTGAGAGGCTCTGCTCCTGTTTGGGGAGACCCTTCTCAGCAGAACCCCCCTTGCAGAGCCCCACAGGCACAGCTGGCTCCTATCACCAGCTCCTGCATGGAAACAGGCGAGGGACCTGGCAGCACAGGGGCGATGCTCTGTGCAAACAAGTCGAGGCTCACAACGGGATTTTGTTTTCTTGGCTTTGTTTCTTCCCCCTGACCCTGCACGAGCAGCTCTGCTGCCATCTGGCCTCCCACAATAGAGGCTGCTCACCTGCCTCATGTCACATGGTGCAGATCCCTGGCACTTCTGAAGGGCAGGGAAGGGATCCTTGCATCAAACACCTCGTTCCCTCCGGTTTCTACAGGTAATTCTGTACAGAGCCAGTGGCCAGTGGCCACCTCCAAAGCCTCCTCTCTCCTTGTGCTGGTGAGAGCACAACCTGCTGCTGGGATAGGGCTGGATCTGAGTGGGTACAGCACCGTTACAACCTGCCAGGGATCCTTGCTTGGGTCTCATAGCCCAAATCCACTCCTACCTCCAAAACACCTCCTCCCCACCCCTCTGCAGGTTCTCCAGGGGCTCTGTCAGGGTGATGGGGCCTCCTGCCTTCCTGGCTGCAGCCACTGGCTCACCCCAGCCCTGGGAGTCCCAGGAAGGAGCAGGTAAGGGTGAGAGCAGGCAGGTCTGCCTTGAGACCATGGCATTTCTCATGTTAATTGGAAACCCCTGAGTGAGAAGCGGGCAAGGGTGCCTGGTTTGCCTGTCAAGCAATGGCACCGCTAATTAATGTGAAATTTAATTAAAGAGAACCCAACCACGGCCAGGACTTGGCAAAGACAAAGGATGGGTGGCTGCTCCTGTGAGCTGAGAACCAGCTCACAGCCCTAAAGTCAGACACACACCTCTGTGACCCCCGAGAGCCTCCCCAGAACTGCCCAAGGGTGGGTACATGACCCATCAGGCCTCCTGCCCTCAGCAAAGGGGGTCTTCCCATGGACCTCCTACTAGAGACATGTCTTGGAACAACAAAACCCTGGAAAGGCCAGAATTTCCCTTTTTGCTTATTTCAGACTTGGAATTCATCATGTTCCTGGGGCAGGAGGGGGATCAGGACTCTGGTCTGAGCACGGCATGGGGAGCACTGGCTTCATCATCCCCTAAATGGTGGAAAAATATGTAGGGGATGCATTTCAACCAGAGATGTCACCAGGCTTTGGGTGGATTTTGGATTCCGAGGGTGCCGAGGTCTCCTCCAGGGCCTCAGTCTCAAGGCACGGGAGCTTCCCTGCCCACTGCCTGCCCTGCACCAAAGGGTGTTACCTTTTGTTTGTGAGAGTTGATGTGTTTAGTTTTAGGGTGGCTCTGGAGGAACCTGGAAGTGACTTTGGGCGGGAGCTGACTTCAAAGGCAAAATGGATGCAGCATCACAAAGTCGTGCTCCATCCCTGTGTCTCCCCTGCAGCACCCTGGGAACACAGGGGTTGTTTCACAGCAGCCCCAGCTCTGCACCCACCTCCTGCCAGCACCCTCTGCCCAACGGGAATCCCCTCCTGTGTCCCCCACGTGCCCTCAGGGATAACCTCTCTGGTCCAGGACCTTTGCCAGAGTCGGGGTTTCTCTTCCCACAGCTGCAGAGAAAACACCCACACCAGCATCCCTGACATTCCTGGTCCTCAGCATCTCCAATCCCTGGAGCTCTGAGGCGGGTCCCCAGCCCCCCCGGCAGCGCGGGGATGGGAAGAGGGGAGAAATAAAGACAGAAAGGAAGAGAAGGAAGGAGCCACCCCTGCCGTGCTGCATCGGCGGCTTCACCCACCGCTGCGGGCTGCCGAATGGGCTGCCCTGATGCTCCCAGGCTCCGGCACGGCAGAGCGCGGCGCGGGTTATGCAACGAGCTGCGGCCGCCGGTGCCGGTCCCGACCCTCCCAGTGCCGGTCCAGACCTCCCCGCTGCCGGTTCCCGGCTCCCCATCTCCCCGCACCGGCGGCGGTGAGACCGCGGCGGAGCGTCCCTTTGTGCACGGCCGGTGCCAGGATGCGGAGACGGGCATTGCCGAGCCCGCACCCCCCATCCCAGCGCATCCCCCCCATCCCAGAGCATCCCCTCATCCCGGCGCAACCTCCCGGCCCGGCGCACCCCCGAGCCCGCATCCTCCATCCTGGAGCATCCCCCCTTTCCCAGGTACCTGCAGGCCCTTGGAGAAGGGGCAGAACAGCACCAGATGCACCAGCCGCCGG